TATTAATCTAATCCCATCTAAAAGATTTTTCTAACAGGCCAATATAAGCATGAAAGCTATACCTTGTGTTAATTAACAGATTATAATAGACTGTAAAGCCTATCAGGACAGACATACTCTGAAGCTATTCCAGTAAAGTCTAAACTAAATTGATAAATAAATAAGAAAATAATTTAATTCAGAAATCACATGAGAAACTGAATCTTGCCTGTCTGCAAAGGCTGAAGCAATAACATGACAGTCTGGCACACTTGCTCTCTGGAGGTCTGCTCAATCTGCTCAAGTAAACCCAAAAGAAGTTCCTTTGGATTGCATAGCTGCAAGAGAGGAACAATGCATATTTTTTAACAACCACGGTCATAAGCTAAAAAATTCATCACAAGTAAACTTCAATACAGAAACTTCAGGAAAACAGATCTCAATATTCAAGGTAATCTTTAAGAAAACAAATATAAAACAATAAGTACTTCCCTACAATTAATATCTACTGTTGAGTGTGTATTTGTGTACAGTTTCATAAAAGCTGAAAACATGTAATAATAAATAATGACACTACACTTGATTTCTATGGTCTATAAAAACCTCGCAGTACATTAGCAAAGTAATCCTTAGGAGTAGAAAGACTAGAAAAACCTCAGTGTGAATTTAACTCAAGCTATAGAGTTTGCAAGTTGTTTTTAAAGTACATGAACAAAAGCAAGCTAGTTTTCTACAGATTAAAACTTTTCTCCCCTACTACTCCATCAGAATCACTGGGTAATCATTGTCATATTGTATCTGCAGTAGACACGAGGCAGCATTGCTGTGGCTGCTCTGACTACGACAGCTGGCTGTAAAAACTTTATGAGTTCTATCTCCCTTTTTCTTCTGGGCAATGTTATGTCTCTTTGTTTTGCCCAGTTACTAATTTCAAATGATTTGTAAGAGGTTAATTACCTCTGAAACACTAAGCCTGTGTCTACTTCAGAAAAAACTAGCTTGTAAGTTTAAAAGTTAAAGGAAATGGACAGAAGAACTCAGAAATATTCATGCCTTGTTTCCTTTTGAAATCAGGGGGTAATTTAGGACCTCTCCCTTCTCTACAGTTTTTGTATTATAACCATATATTTCAAAAACATACCTGTGCCAACTGATCTAGTATCTTCAGGCAGTGTTCTCGTTTATCATCTTCCTGTTTATATATGAAAATACATCTTACAAGAGGACAGATGAGATTCCAACCCATATTCTTGATTATAACCTAAAAAACAGATTTTCAGAGAATAAACCAAAACTGGACATCCTCTAAACCCAGAAATATTGTATGTATGAAGGACAAAAAAAGACAACAAATCAATGTCCAATGGTTGTAACCAACACCATAATAACATCATTGAAAATTTAACAACTATTACCATAAAGTTCTGTATTTGACATACACTGTATTCTCCCCCCATACCTATAAACACAGGTGCATATCTTTGTATAGTTTTCTTCAATGTCTTAATTCTAACAAGTCAATTTATATTTCTAAGAACTTATATGACAATACATTTTAAACAGGACTGAGTAGAGAAGTTTTGCTGAAAGAAAGAACAGACAAATTACATCTAACCTGAGGAGTTCAAGATCTGCAGTTGTTACTCCAAACTCACAAAATTCAAAACCAGACTGTGAACCCCATGTAACATTGCTAAAATGTTCCCTCCTTCACTTTCTTTCAGAACTTCCTATTTATCTGTGTACAATTTAGTATATTCTCCCAGCTCCCCAAAGTGCCTACAGACATTGGCATCTCTTACATTAGCATCAGCTGAGTTGGACTGTACGTTTTGGCCAATATCATATCCATCTGTGGTGGGCTGACCCCAGACAGCAACTAAGCACCCACCAGCTGCTGCCTCACTGCCCTCCCCCAGTGGGACGGGGAAGAATCAGAAGTGCAAAACAGAGAATAACTCATGGGGGGTCAAGATCAGGACAATTTAATAAGTGAAGGACAAAAGGGGAAGGGGGAGTAACACAAACCAACTCCCACCAGCAAAACAATGTCCAGTCAGTCTCCAAGCGACAGGTACGTTAGAATGGGTCCCTATCCCCATGTGTTCTTAATGCTGAGCATGATATTATATGGCATGGAATATCTCTGTCAACAGTTTGGGTCAGCTGTCCCAGCTGTGTCCCTTCCCAGCTTCCCTGCTCATTGAGGGGACAGAGTGAGAAATGGAGACCTTGACACTGTACAAGCACTGTTCAGCAATAGCTGAAACACTGGTCTGTTATCAACACTGTTCTGGCTGAAAGTCTAAAACACAGCACCATACATGCTCCATGAAGAAAATCAACTCCATGCCAGCCAGACCCTGTACACCATCTGAAATCCTGCAGAAGAGGGACAGTCCCTTTCTTTTAATTATGCTTTTTGTCCTCTATTTTGTCTTTGCTTAACTCACCGAAAAACAGTTATTAATGGTTTAGTTAAGATTATCATGACTTGTGTTTCTGTGAGCTACCCGAAATTACACAAGAATGCACACTTCACACAGCGCAACTTATGAACTATTCACACATACAGCCTTGCTCCACAGTGAAAGTAACTTTCCTTTTTTAATAACCAGTTTTATCTATTTAATGGTGTGTTAGTGCACAACTAGTATATAGTGCAAACTTAAACTCACCTTATTTTTCTCATTTTGAATTATTTCTAATAACTGAGCTGCATACCCATCTTCTAAACATTTCTGACCCGCTACCTGAAACAGATTAAAATCTTCTCCTTTGAAATCAGCTTCTTCCAGAATTTGCTAGAAAGAAAAAATGCGTGTTTAACCCCATACTTATAAAAGACCAATAAAAAATAAGAAAATCCAAGCTTTCATTTCAAAATTAAATGTACTGTCATTGTAACTTATCTTTTCTTATATAACATCTTTCACATATTAAAAAAGCTACCAAAAGCTACTACAGAAGACAAAGCAGTATTTTAATTGCACTTTCTAAGTCTAGACTACAGCATGTTGTTTGGAAGATGTATTTTCTACAACAACCTGCAAGGGTTTTGTTACTTCAGACAGGTGCTGCTGAATACAAGAACACTTTTCTCCAAGAAGCAGAAGTTATCAAGCATCCTGGGATAAGCACCACAGAAAAGTCAATGAAACATGCAGGATGAACTTAGCTGCCCAATGAGTGAGTTCTACTTGCAACTGTCTTGTGTTTTGGGGTCATTTTCATTTTAACTATAATGTATGAAGAGAAATCCACACTGATTACCACTTACTACTTTTACGGAAAGAAAACTACTTACGCATCTTTGTATTATGGCTTGAAGTTCATCAACTGCCATTATAGTTTGACTTTGTTCTTCTGGCATTAAAAACTATTATGAATTAAAGAGTGCAGTATTAAAATACATGAACTAAAAACAGAGACTGAAAAATAATCACATTATAAAAAAAAATGCCAATAGAGGAATGAGAACAATCTAAACAGATATTATGAAGACTGCATGATTAACAAAAAAAAAAAAAAAACCATGAAAAATGCATTTTTAATAAGTGTATAGTATATTATTCTACTCCCCATATTTGTAGGAGGCAGTACTACAGACAGGAAACAACCTGCATTCTATGTACAGGGAAGCAATTTTTCAAATAGTATCAGGGTCATCTTAAGAAGTTTGGATATCTCGGCTACTACTTGGGCACATACATTGAAAACTGCAGCTAATACCGAGCAAGCCTGGGCTCACTGTGTACCAAGCATGTATGCCCACGATATATGACATTTTCTGTGACTATTCTCACCATAAGACCTCCTGCTCAGCTGTGACTGGAACACTCTGATGCCCCAGATGCACACAGCTGATCCAACCACCATGCCAGTTTATATCAACAGTGCAATCAAGATTACATACTCAATATCATTTATTTATTTCTAGTGTCAAGACTGGGCTAGTACAATGGCCTTTTACCTCTACATACTATAATTTAATTGTTTTTAGCAAGACGGTTTTAAGTTAAACATTTGAGTAATGTTAAGTACACAGAGAATTTTACACAGTCAGGACCATGAATTACAAATAAAATCAAACTTGGTTATCCATTGCAGCAGTCATAATCTTTATAGTTTTAAGTAATTCCACGTGTCTGAACCTAGTTATATGATCAGTATGAGTGTCAATTACCTCTACACCTGGATAATTAGCTATCTATTCATCAAAACACCCAAGTTCCATATATATATATACAGACATCTCAGTGTAACATCCCCAATCTTTCCTCTTACGTTCGACCACTGCTGTGTCACACATCTGGATAACTAAGCTAGCTGGCTGTTTACAAAAAGCAAGCAACTCACAGAAGCTTAAAAAGCATCTGTGTGTGAATTTTATTCTGCAAAGAATAAACAACTCTCTTGCTATTCTCAGGGGCCTATTTTAACATTTTTATGTCACGGCAATCTAGCAATGTATCTAGCCTGTCATTTTAATTTGGTCATTATCGTAGAGTTTATTACCACATTGTACTACTTGAGTTCTTAATTTTATAGGATGTTACTAATCCTCCCAAAATAATTTGAATATACTTTTGAACAATAATATTCTCGTGCTTTCAGCCCTCAGTAACTTTACAATGTACTTCTAGCCTTGAAGCATGCCCCATGCACCCACCAGGCTGTTCCAGGGATTTACTAGCTGAGCCAACAGATGGCCTCAGGCCTTAATGCTTAATCCAGTTTCTAATTAAATCTTTTCAGAGGTTTCAGCGACAAGTGGACACCATCTCAATCACGTGAAACTTTCTACTATTAGTACTCGCCAAACTCCCTCCCCTCTCTAACAAAAGTATACCTCAGCCCCCTCCCTAGGCGGGGTATAACACGTAGGCAAACACAAACAGCCAACATACACCTTTATCACACGGCTGAATTAAAAAACCACAAGGCCACCCCCCGCCACCTCAGCAGACCGCCAGTGGAACCCCGACCGACCCGCCATACCCCTCAGCCTCCGCCGCTCCACAGCACCGCGCTACCGCCGCTTCCCGGCCCTGGCCACGCCGCCGCGGCGGCTCCGCCTCTCGGGTGAGAGGTCAGAGGGAGGGAGCGGGCAGCCGCGATGATGGCGGCCGGGACAGCCGCGGTGGTGGCGGCGGCCGGGCCGCCGCAGCCCGGCGCGAAGGGGAAGCCGCGCCGGCGGCGCGCAGGTAGGCTTAAGGCGCCTCGCGCCGCTCCCCCCCTCCGGCACTTTGGGCTCTCCCTGTGCCCTCAGGCCGGCACAGGGGACTCGCCCAATCGCCGTACCGGGGGGAGCGGCGGGACGGGGACGCGGACGCTGCCGCGGGCTCGGTGGGCCTCGGCCGGGCTGGGCCGGCTGTGAACGGCGCTGCGCCTGCCCTCAAGCCTGTGCGGGGTCTCCGCGCCCGGCTTTTGATAGTAGTCCTGCAGCTGACCAGAAAACCGCGCCTTCATGTTTTAAGCATAACAGTCCATTATTTTCCCTGCCTGATGCCGTTGTCTTAAGGGAGCCGCTGCCCGGTAGACGGGTCAGGGCGGGCGGAGCGGCTCTGGGCTGAGGGAGCCGCCGTGTTGTCCCGCCTGCAGCAAAATCCACTGATGGGGCAGTTGGAAAGGACAGTGGGTCCCAGCAGTGGGGTGCAGCGGTAAAGCTGGGCTGGAGAGCCAGTGGAGAACCAGGGTGAGTGCAGCTGGCATGAAATTATTGTCACAATTATTTGTCCCATAGCTTTATGACTATACAAAACATGATGAACGAGTGTCTGAAGAGAGTTGAGCTTGTCTGTCCTGATGCCTATAAAAAGCATGTCTAACTATGAATGATTACTAGTTTACTGAAGCCACTCTCTGCCACCAAAAGCAAGTTTCTAAGCAACCCCCTTGATTATGCTTACAGTTTAGAGGTTTTAATATTTTTCAGGTTCCAGTATTTTCCACTGTTAAAAGATGAAAGTACACTAATTTCTATATTTCTACATTTATATATTTTATTTGTAGGAAATAAGCATTCAGCTGCTCTGAAGAATGAAGATGCTGCTCAAAGGTAAAATTTCTAACAATACATGCCATTCATGTTGTTTTGCCTCACTTTGAAATTGTATTCTTTGCCTTGCACGGTTTTTTTCTTTCTCAGAGGAGAGTATTATGACTAACTTCAGGAGATTGCCAGCATGACCATCATGCAGGCTTGATTGGAGTGATGCTGTGTAACTTCTAACAGCAAGCATGTATGTGCAGTGTGTAATGTGCTAGAAGTTTACGACTCTGACCTCCAAAGTTGTTTTTACTTCCTCTATAGTTCGTCATTTTTGCCATCTTAACTTCTTTGCATACCTGCCATTTTTCTGTATTCACTTTAAAAACCAAACTTGAGAGGAAAAAACACTTGCTGCCATGGACAGTTACCTGAATATTAATTTGATTCTGTAGTAGAGCTAGATTTACCGCTGAATAGCGTAGATCTCTTGTCAGTTAAGACAGCAGAATGACTGTACATTGACAACCTCTGTGGGCAGCACTGCCGCATGGAGATCAGAGATGCCTACTTGCTCTCTGGGTATTTGCTGGCAATAGAATAGTGTCAAGACTCAGGACACTCAGGAAATTTACTGTAGTGGAATTTGTTTGATTTATTCCTTCCTTTGTACCCTTACACTCAGTCTTGTTCCAGTCCTTTTTTCTTCCTGCTCTCTATATCTCATCCAGTTCCCATTCTCTTGGCAACACTGCCTAAATTGGTTGTCCCAGGCTCTTTGTCCAGCCAGTTCTGAGTTTCCCTTTCCTACAAGAAGAGTTGGGTAACTTTGTATGGAAGTATTGCAATAAGAGTCAATACCTTTCCTGGTTGGGGTGGAAATAAAGCAAACCAAGTTTGGAAACTCCTTTGTGGTTATTACAGAATTATGAGTCCAATTACTCCTTGCTTTGTTTGGTGATGCAGAAAAAATGTAAGCTCCCGTGTTTCAGAAAAAAGATAAAGATACGATTGGAGAATTGTTTATGGAAATCTGCTCTCTGTGTCATTAAGTGTCTGTTCTGTCATAGGAAAGCAGCACTGGAGGTTGCTATGAGAAAGAAGATTGAATTTGAGAAAAAAGCATTGTATATTGTTGAACAACTCCTAGAGGAGAACATTACTGAAGAGTTCCTTCTGAATTCTGTAGGTGTTGCAAGTTTTTATAGTTTTTTGTATCTTAGTGTTCAACTTTCTTTTTTAAAGTTTTTGGAACAATTCGCTGCAGTGTAAAGTAGACAAACCATTTATTGCCTCTGTCATTAGCTCTGATGATGATTGCCTTATTTTCAGGGGTTCTGTGGTAAAAACATGTCCTGGTTTGGGTGGACTCTATACATTTATGAATCCTCACTGTATTACCACAGCATTTGTCTATGCCTCTGTGGTTCTGGACTAATAGATAAAGTATAAAAATGTAGGGCTATGTCACATCATCTGTTAATTTATACAAAGTCTCTATAACACACCACAGTTTATCTGGCAGCACAGTTTTTCTGGAACGGTATGATGATTACTTATGTTGAGGTTGTAAATAGACTGGTAAATAGGTGTACAAAACATGTAACTAGAGGAAAATTATGAAAATGGGTGCCATACTAGAGGCAAAAATATGAAGCTCTTGTGTATGTAAAAGGAAGTACTTTTCCCTGTCTTCTTTCCCTGTTTACACTTTCATCATTTTCACTGGATTCTAAATGTTGTTTACTAAACTTACGAGATAACTGTTACAACATTTAAAATATTTATTTGCTTATGAGATTTTTGTGTAAGGAAATTACAGATTTTCCAGTATCTGTTGTTGAACTATTTTTTTGTCATTTTAGGGAAAATGTATTACTCCATCTCACTATAAAGACATTGTTGATGAACGATCTATCATCAATCTATGTGGTTATCCTCTGTGTCAAAACAAACTGGAAAATGTAAGTTGCTTTTTATTAATGCTGTTATCATAAGAATCTCTTCACCATTTTTATTCTCTTGCATCTTCCTTTTAATTTTCAACTTACAATATTAAGCACTGATGTCAAATAATAGGCCGGGCATTATGTCATTCCATTTCAGTATAATCCTTCTGAAGTAAAAGGTAAAATCTGATCAGTTGACAACCAACAATGTATCACAGAATCAATTAGCATCTACTTTGACAGTAATAAAGACAGTAATAAAGAATGAGGTATGGCTTCATGGCCTTCCTTTGTGCATGCAGAAACTTTTTAATGTTGTTCTTCTAAAGTGTGACCACATTATGAGAAAGATTGCAGTGAAAAAATAATACAGGGATATTGCTATGTGTATGCATATACATCAGCTTTAGAAATGTATGTTACCCGTGTCAAAATCATAGTCACACTTATTTAGGTATGGTATGTCAGAGCATAAGCAGAACTCAGTTCAGTCAGATAACCTGTGATGTAATACCAGCTGTGGTACACCTAATTATCTGAAAAAAAAAAATCAACTCAGGGATAAAAAATTTTACTGTTTCGGACTTTGTATGTTCCCACAGAAGTTCACTCAGAAACTGTATTATATTTTATGTAAGTTCTTCTCTTAGTTTGTCTGCGTAGTGGTTGGGGGTAGCTGACAGTACTGTCTCGTGCATATAAATAGATCTGGATTAAAGAAGGACCTGTCAGTAATTACCCAACACTCTGTAATGTTTCTACTATGGCAGCTCCATTGTTTTATGTTCAGTGCTGATTCTTTTTGTAGATCTGTTGTTGTCTTCTACTGATAGTGAGATGTAAATGATTAAAGATAAACTGCCATTCTTATATCTGAGAAAGTAAAATAGCAAAACTATTGAGAGAAAAGGTGGTTGTAGTATGCAATTCTATTAGAATATGTTAAAATATGTGAATTAAGAATGAAATTTTCTGTAAAGTCACGATGGAAGTAATAGTCTTGCTGATGAAAGCATATTGTTTTAGGTGCCAAAACAGAAGTACAGAATTTCAACAAAAACAAACAGAGTTTATGATATCACTGAAAGAAAGGTATGGTAACAAGTCTATTTCTAAAATGTATTTAATACTGTCTCAACATCAGAAATGCTTGTTTTATAACAGCATTCATATAGTGGCTTGATTCAGAGCCAGTGTGTTTGGTTCTTATGAAAATCAGTTTCATGAATTGTTAGAATATGAAGTTTTTGTGCATATCAGTTTCATGAATTGTTAGAATATGAAGTTTTTGTGCATTTCGGTTTCTAGATGCTCTCTTTGGAAAGACAAAAAAATCACTTCATTTCTTTTCTAAATTTAAACATAACATTGAAAGTTTTACTTGGTTAGCCGTTTGAATGTGGTACAGCTGATCTCTTAAAGACATTTGTGAAGAAGAGTTCTCTATTTAGCTTGAGTATAGTCAATGAGATTTAGTAGGGCCAAAGTGCATATCCTTTCCATTCACTGAAGGTTGCAGTGGTGTAATACAAATTACATCTTATGCATTCCTTAGTGTGACTACCTTGAGGGTTCTTTTTTGAGGACTTTTCAACATAAAACATATCTGTTCACAGAATCTGTTTCTTTCTTGAAGCACATTCATGGGTGTGGTTGCATAAGTCTTCTTTGCCTGCTCACAGGATACACAATCACCTACAGGTGCTTAGATGCTAAATTGTAGAATAAATGTTTGTAGTTCCAGAACAAATTGCTCCAGTGTTGCTAGCATACATTTATTTCCTCTGGTTACAAATCTGGGATACACAAAATTCTGGGAATTGTTTTCTCAACCTACCATGTGAGACTCCAAGAAGAAGTGGGATGTTTTGTCTTTTTCCCTGATGTAAGTGTGCAGGTTAATTTTACAAAAATGCTGCAAAATATTAGGTGTTGTTCTGAGTATTGCAAAATATCCAAGTTCTGTTGCTAACCAAAATTTTCACTATTAAACACCTGAATTTTACTGCCTATCTTTTAAACTGTGTGACCATCTTGTTGGGTTAGGGATTGCTTTTTGAACAGTTCTGGTTTTTTGTTGTTTTTGTTTTTTTTTTTTTTTAAATTATTGTTAGGTAGAATGCATTTGCTTCTTAGTATATAATAAAAGCGCAAAAAGCAGAGGGGGAAAAAAGAAGCAGCTGAAAGCGGCTTCTGGGGAATGCGGTAGACCTATTTGATGGGCTTGGTTTCTCAGGTGAATTAAAAACCTGGTCATAGGCTTAAAAAGAAATGTGATTTGGTACTTAATTTTACAGGCATAAAACCCAATTACTTTTGTACCTTTCTGTGCGTATTAAAGTTGTCTTTAGTCATACTTTCTTGCTTTCTCTTTTGTTTCCAGTGCTTTTGCAGCAACTTTTGCTATAGAGCATCTAAATATTTTGAAGCTCAAATTTCCAAAAGTCCAGTATGGATGCGAGAAGAAGAAAAGTAAGTATAGTCTTATACTTTCGTTGCTCCTTTTGAGAATCTTATTTTCTCTATCCAAGCTGTCTGCTAATTAACTAGCTGCAATGCATCAGAATGATTTGTCTGAAGCAGAGGTAACTGATGTTTAAATGTTAGCCTACCATGATGTTTGTTTTAGAAGTGTTGCTATGGTGATTAAAATAATTGACATGACTCAGTACTACTCATGACTACATAGTAACATGGCCCTGTAAATTGAGAGGGAAGACTAGTCATAAATAATAGTCAACTTAGATTAACTTTAAAATGTACTTACTAGGATGGGATTTTTAAAAACTATAAAATGTATAGGATTAATTAATCTTATCCTCTTACCAGAGATTTTCTAATTTTAGCACAGCACTAGGTATTGGTCTTACGGTTAGACTGAATGCTAGCACCTGAAAGCAGACTATATATGAAGACCTTTATCCTGCCGAAATTTCAGATTGCTCATCTCCTGTTACTGCAGTATGCATTCTGGAATGGTGTGATGTAGTCCCATGTTCCTAGTTTAGGAAACAAACACAGGCTTGCAAATAATGAGTTGAGCCAATGGGTGTCACTGTTTAACAATAAATACTTCCCTGGAGAACATTCAGCTGAATTTATTCAGCTTTCATTCTCCAAGACACTACTTTTCATAGTCTCCTGGTTTTCAGCAAAAGAAACTAGCTGAAATTATATGTGTGAGCTCGTTTTCACAGTTCAGATCAGTTATATGAAATATCTGGTCAATGAGAGAAGAGATTTAGAGCAGTCTGATCTGAGGAATTCTAGTAGCTGAAACTGGTCTCTTCATTAAATATTTATGTAAGTTTGCCAGTATTTTTGTGCTATTATTTTGCTGTATTGAAAGAAAATATTTCTAAAAATCTCCCTTTATTCTTAAAACTGGAAGCATATAGTTCTGATATGCCTGACAGTTAATTATTTATGTTGTATGGTGGGGAGGTGGTATTTTCAAAAAACAAACCCCCAGATAGTTCATGGCTAGGTGTATCTGTCTGCACAACCACACACAGGTGCACACAGTGATACAGGTTTTCACATTAGGATATCTCAAATTCTTTTGACAGAAAAGACCGCAACCTCCATTTAAAACTCTGAAGAAGAGTTATGTGGAGTTAATAATTTAAATCATTGTATATTATCACCTTTGGTTTCCAAACTCATTTCATTCATGAGTGGTGCAGCTTTTTAAACCTTTTAAATATCTTCAAACCTGGGGGAATTTTTATATACTGTCTGAGAGGTGTTAGTGCATTGACTTGCATTTAGTGCGTGCTTAAAAAGGTTTCTTTCACTCATAGGACAGGTGGGTGTTGGATAAAATGAATAGTATTGTGATGCTGCCTCATAACTGAATTGAAGCAGATTAACTGCAAGTATAGCTTTGGAAAGAAACCCATCAGAATTTGTTTAGTAATGTTTATTAGAGTTTCTGGAAACCTTTGCACTCCATTTTCTTAAAGCAGTATAACTTGATAGACTAATTCTTAATAAAGTAAAATTTAAAATAGGTAAAGATATCCTGAATATTATTCTTTGCATTAATTTGGAGCATTTTTCTATAAATGGCCCAGTATTGTTTTTACTCTAGGAATTTTGTGACCTGTGAGGATCTTGGCATGTGTACTTTGTTGAAGATGTGCATGTCGTCTGCCAAAGGGTGATCTGAAAGCAGTCTATAACTATTTGAGCAAAACTATTCTTGATTGATGGCAGAAAACTTAACAAGGGCTGATGGCCCCGAATTACCACATGGATGGTTCAGGTTGAACACTGGAGAAAAAAAACTGCACTTAGGTTATGGTGGAATGAAACAGGATATTCAGCAACGTTTTGAAATCTCCATCTTTGGAGGTTTTCAAGATTTAAACTTCATGAATTTGTGGCTGACCTAAACTAGTGCTAGTTGACAATTGCATTACAAGCAGGAGGTCAGACTAGAGACTTCCAGAGGTCATTTCTGACTAACATTTGTGTGACTTGCTGGTTTTGTTAAGTGTTTTTCAACATAATAGCATCATGCTGCAAGCATGAGACACACTCTGTGAACATGTATGTACAAACCTGCTCTTGCTTGCCCTGCTTCAGAGAGTCTTGGACTAGAAGATCATCAGCCGTCTCTTCCAACCTCAACTATGTATTTTATGTATTAGTGTGTATTTCAAGAGCATTGATTTAGCAGAAAAATCTTCATTCTGTGTCTTCTTTTTGCAGACCACCAGACATAGAGCTGCTGAAGGAGGGACAGAGGTACACTGAACATTTTTTTTTTTTTGTTATGTGCATTTATAGTTAGAAATATTAGCATCATTTCAGGTGACAGGGGAATCTTTGATTACCTGTGTTATAGAAAAGACCATATTAGAATCTACACAAAGGATTATTTGTCTTGTTTAGTTTTTTCCTTTGTGATTCTAAACCAGTATATTTGATCTGTATGATTTAGTGTACAGCTGCTCTTGGCCTGTATAGCTTAATTGAGCCTGTTGAAATCTGAAACAAACACACTGTTTGTACTTTGCATATTTTATACCATCTATTCTTTATAAAGGAAATGGTACCAATTATATGTGATGAAAGCTTCTGTACTTCTTAATCTAAAACATTTATGTCAGCTAAAATGAAATCATGCTACTCTGTCATCAATCTGTACCTTGCCGTGTATTGTAACTTTTTGTTTGTTTTCTTTTGCAACATGTGGCCATTAGGTGGCAAACTTACATATGCTAAAAACAGCTTTGCTGTCCTCTGATTTTAGGGTGCTATATTCCTATATATGTTAAGATGCCTATCTTCATTTTCAAATTGCACTATTCATCATGCTAAATCTGACATTATTCTCGTCTTTAATAATATCTTGTTTACTATTCTTTTCTAACTGCCAATAAGCAACTCAGAACTTGCTTCTCTAAATAGTGTCTATGCTTGTCATTTTGATTGCTGAACATTACAACTCTTGGAGTTCAAGAAGACTTTTAGAAGAGCAGCTGTGATTCTTAAAGCAAAAAAGTGCACTTCTACTATAAGGGAAAAATGCTTTATTTATCTTTCTTACATGAGAATGAAAAGCTATTACAGGTAACACCCATTTCTTATTTCATTGATGGCTTGTGTTTTCTGTTACAGTGGACAGTCTGGAGAAGAGGTGAAGCTACGTGATGAAGTAATTAAAACATCTGACATTGAAAATCCTAGGATATCTTCAAATCCATGTGAATCTGGTTCTCATGACACAGCCAGTGACAGCAGTAGTGATACTGAACAAGAATTTGTTTCTTCTGTCCTACCAGGACGTCAGTCAAGTTCAGCCAATTTTGCACAGCAATTGGACAAAAACAGCATCCTCAAAAAGAAGTATGCTCAGAAAGTCTGTTCCAGCCCTAAAACTGAAGACTCAGGTGTGGTAGAAGCCACTGAACAACTGTCTAGTTGTAAATTAGATACTCTGGAAGAAATGCATACTTGCTGTGTTCATAATAAAATAACTGCAATGCCTTCAAAAAATAGTGCTCCAGGGAAATCAAGTGCTTCAGAAAGCTATCAGAATACCTGTGGTTCACAGATAGTTTTTCTAAGTGTGAGCAAAAGAGGGGCAGAACATCTTAAAAGAACCCTAGCTAACTCAAAAGAACATAAAAAAGCTGAACTGAGGCATCCAGTCAATTCCAAAGGCAGTTTATTAGAAGTGCTTAAGCAAACACTTATGGAATGGAGAACTGAAGAAACTTTAAAATTTCTCTATGGACCAAACTATACTGCATCAGAGTGCCTATCATCTTCCAACCAGGAGAATGAAGAACTTGATGAGGATGATCTAGATACAGCTGATGATCTTAACACTGTTGCTATAGGGGAGTCTGAAAACAGTCTGAACTATGCTTTACCTTTCACAGGCCCAGGTGGAATAGTTAAGCCTGTGCCTAGTTATGAAAAGTTAAAAGAAGAAACAGAGTTCCTAGAACTCAGAGTAAAAGAGTTCTATAAAGGAAAGTATATCTTGGCTGAAGAGGCTGTGACACACATACAAGCAGAGGAACATCCAAGCAAAGACAAAGTGAGTGTCTAGTGGAATAGTGTTGAGACTATATAAAGCCTGCTTTCACAGAATTATTACAAGCTCTTTGTTTCTGTCATCACAATTGGATAAATATCTAGCATAGGTTAGCTGCACACAGTATGTTGGGTCAGATTAAGCAAGCTTCTGTTCATTACGAAATTACTGGTTAGTTGTTTTTTCTCTATTCAGAGATAAGAGTTTTCTTATGTTTAAACATTTCTTGATAAGCCATAACTATTTTGATACATTGACTTTAATTAAATACTAGGTTAGAGTTGTTAAAGTTTTTTGTCTAATACAGGATGATCAACCAGAAGATCTCACCTTCCCACTTGTTGATTCAAATGCACAAATGCAGATTAGAAAGCGAATCGTCCTTGAAAAACTGAGAAAAGCGTAAGTATCCTTTAGTAACTGTCAAGCTAAAGTTTGTGCTCATTCATCATCATTTTAAGTAACAAGCACACTGTGCAAGGACATTCTGGCTTTTTCTAGGTGGTCTTAGTCATAACTTAAACCTGTTATTGCCTTAAAGAACTTACTTAGTTCTTAGACAGTCATGTGCAGTACAGTTGCAGATGTCAGTTTGCACAGCTTGCTGAGGTAGGTGTCAGAATCTCACTACTAAGGTGTTCTCTAGAAGAAACCTATCCCTCCCTACAAGCATTGGAGCTTGTAGTTGACAGCATTCCAGGCTGGCATGACAGCATGTTCCCAATCTTCAGTAGCTGGCAGAACTCAATGCAATTCTGCTATTACACTGAAAATTTCTATGGGTTTTGGCTCTAAATGGTGGTATAACACATGGAGCTTAAAATGAGAATATGTGCTTGAAAAAAAAAAAAAATCCACAGCAAACTATTTATCATCCTTCTTTCCCTCAGTTATCTACAAATAACCTAAACTATTTGGATTCTTGTAAGTTGTCTAAGAGCAGATTCTGATGGACATAAAACATGAAATATTTAAATAGCTGTATGTACCAACTGCTCAAGCCTAAACCGAAAAACTTGAAGTTGATTGGGAGGAGTGCAGATATTTGTCCTGTACATTAAGCATACTGTTACTGGTAAACAAATGTACACAGGAGGAAGTGGTGTTTTCAGACCACTTAAGAGTTTAAGCAGAGATCTTACTAACAGAGTTTCTAGTCCATGCTTGGATGGCTGGTATCAGTATTACTCTAGCTACAACCATTAAAGTCCCTCAGAATTGAATCTTAAAACTTTGCAAATGCCATAGCTTTTTCAAAAACATAAAAGGGCTTTGAAGTCCCAGAAAAGAGATTAAGGCATCTCTGCTGTAGTTGTTAAAATGATTGAATTGTCAAAGTCAAGAGGACCTTGAAAATAGAAGTATTTTCAAGGCAATACACATAAATGAGTGCTTGAAGATCATGATTGTGGTATTTTTGTTACGGGTATTTTGCTTTTCTATGGTTGTAGTTTGTGTTAGCTAGCCAAACTAGATTTTGCGGAATCTTTTTTTTTTTAACTAAACCTACAACCAAAACTCCCCCAGAAAGCTCCGTTCTGTTTCTGTATACCTGCAACAAGTGTGGACAGGCCACAAACATGGAATCAAACCATGCTGTAAGAAAGGTGGCTAGCTCTGATCTTTCTGTAAGTGTCAATGTTGCATAGATTCCAAGGACTACTACTGTATGATAAAGCAGTTTCTCTGCTCCTTCAAATTCTTCCACAAGTTTATCAATCATTTTCAGCTTCTAGCAAAATTTCTGTTGAACTTAAAAGTCTAATACTCCATGAATAGCAGATAAGGAAGACAGAATGGGGTTTTTTTCTTAGCTTCTTCAAAGGTATAATTCTTGATTAGCCCCTTCTTTAGTTGATAACTTTAAATTTCACGAGGTGATGTCACAATCAAGTAAGAGACACAATTTACATTGTGATAAAGCAAAGATTTCTTGGTGTATTCGGATTGTCAGTGGGAATATGAATATGCCCAGCATCTGAAGAGTCCTGTGTTCAGTTTTTGTAAAACATGCCATGGTGTAAAAGAGAATAGAAGTCTTAATTCTTCCAGGAATATTGATGTGCCATGTGCATATATGCATATAAATGTAAATAACTTGATATTCAAATTCAAGAGGATATTAACTATTAAACAGGTAAATAGAGGCAGAAGTTTCATCCGAAATGTGAAAAATAATGCATGGTATTTCCAGCATTTGGGGATACTGACATCTAGTTAAACAGTATGTGCAGTTAGTTGTGTGCTGTGTCAGTTTTAACACACGGTCAAGCAGGGTGGCAATCTGACTTTTTCTTTCTTACAACATTTTTTGATTACCCTACTATCATCTTGATTCCAATTATGAGACTTACAATGGAATGCTATTTCTGTTGCATCTATGTGAGCCTGAGGTTAGCATATATATTCTCTGTGCAAACCTCATTTAGACATGTAGTTTCCTTTTGTATTGTTATCTTTGAACCAAATAACTATAAACATTTGAAACATGAGGCTGGGAATTCTCATCTTCGTAATGTAAACACTTTGATTTTTTTGGTAAGAATGTCCTGTCAGAACTGAAATATGAAGTTAGTAAGAGTATGCATGTAAAACTATATTTACTTTATTCTTTATGTTCACACTGAATTAGAGCTTCTTATTTTTAAAAACAAGTTGTTGTAAAGTGAAGGTATTGCCCAAACACCACTCAGAGGAATCTGGAATGTAAACTACAGGCCTGATCTGCTTCAGAAAAGTCCATTTCTTTTTCTTTTTATTAATTTCCATGAGCTTTGGTGGAAGTCCTATTTGGAGAAATGAGAAAGAGAGGAAAATGTATATTGACTGGTGTCTTTTGCCTTCTAGATTACCTGCAGTTTTGGGCCCTCTTCAGATTGTTCCGGGTGATGTTTACACAGAGCTAAAAAATCTTGTCAAAACTTTCCGGTGAGTATTGGTCTTTATTTAGAAATTCTTCTTGATTTATTAATTCAACAGTATGTTTAATGATTTGTGTTTTGGGCACTGAGAGGGCCCCATTGCAGATTTGCCCTTTTCTAGCTGTGTGTTCATGTAGGTAACGTCACATTCCCTGTGGACTAACAAGTCAACCCTTTCCCTACTCCTGGCAGTGGCTAGGTCACCAGGACTATTTGTAGATTTTTAAAAACTAGGCCAGTGGTCTCCAGAGGATGATGGTGAGTCTTTTAAAGGTTCTGCTACCTCGTCACCTCCTATTAAGCGTGGCTTTCTGAGATCTGTCGCTTTCTTTTGCTCTGGCTCCCTACAGCTGGGCTAAATGGCTTTAATGTGATTAATAACGGTTACCACTAATTTCTAGAGCCAGGAAGAAGGTCCATTTTGACCTAATTTCGAGGAGTAGTAGATCTAGTGGACACTTTATCACCACAGATGAAACTTCTGCTTCAGTCAGAAGCACTACAGACACTATTTGGAAACAGTGGGATAAAGGAGGAGGGAAAACCACATCATGGTAACTTTTCTGAACATTTTTTGGTTTTCTTTGGGACACAACTGTCATAACTTGGGCCTAGATCATGTCCTGCATCTTGAAGTATTGTCAGGAAAGGTAGCAACAACAGTTGCTAGCTCTATGTACGTTTTCACTCCTGAAACTTCACCCCCATATCCCCAACCTGCATGAGGCTTACATGTAAATTTTCCAAAACTCATTCAGGCAGCATTTGCCAGAAGGAGTCTAGGCTTTGGTGAATTTAAGTCCAGCTCTACCTGATGCCTTATGATTTATTGGACATCTGGAAGGACACCACTAAAACACAGATCTCTATATGCAGGATTTCTTACTATGGAAGATACTCCATTACTTTCTGGTGACTCTGTGCATGATCTCTTTCCTTTAAAAGAATTGTTAGTGTTTGAACTTGATTCTGTACTTGCAGTCTTTTAAGTTGTGATTAACCTTCTATTTTAACAACAACACTGAAACCAGGGAAGGTGTTTTTGGATATATTGAAGGAGCACGTATATACACCTAGTATTTGAATAAGATCTTTTTCTTTTAAGACTTAAACCAGTTATGTTGCTCTGCAGTCTAAATGCTTAATAGTCACTTTAGCTTATGGATTGATAGAAGTAGAAAAACTATATTTGGTCTCTTTCAATCTACTTCTCTATAATTGATCATGTAAGAAGTCCTGGAGGTTCTCAAAAGCAGAACTTAAATTTTAAATAATTTTTTTTACTCAAGGACAATGTGGCCTGAATATGAAGTTTTAAAAGTGTCAAAGGAGCCAAAATAGACTTCTAAAAGCATAAATATACACATCTGTGGATTAACAGAATGGAACCAAATCTAATTAATTTGGACTTCGATTCCAATACTGAGCTCCTGTGATACTAATTGATCATATTTTAGAAGTCTTCCCTGATCTGTTTCTCATCCCTCAGATAACACTTTGAGTTTATTCAAACCTTTTTTGGTTAGGAAGTAAGTTGAAGGTAATGGTAGGAAGTTCTTGGGGCTTTCGTACTGTGAAGTTTCCAGATAAATTGCTTAGAAATTCAGGATTTCAGGCAGGGGATGGTTGAAGACAGTTGTGGGCACTACATAAGAATTTATAAGTGCCTTTTTATTTATTTATATTTTTATATATATATATATATAAAAAATAATTTGTTAGTGCCTTTATATGTCCCAAACAAATGGAGTTTTATTGTCCTTGATGGTAAAGTAGCACAAAAATACAGAAAATAGGGAAGCAATAAAAAGCTTTGGGCCCTTTCTCCTCCTTGCATTTGTGATACGCAAGGGTCCATTGATACACAAAACCTAGCTCATGGATATTAAGATGAAGCCATAGGTTTGAATCTCCAGTTCTGTAGATAGGTTTAAATTTACTTAATAGAGCAGCCTTCTGATTTTAGGCTGAAAGCTTTGGCAAGGGGGACCTGGAATAAATTTTAAGTGGTATCTGTATTTGCAGGGTATAGAAATTAAAACATTACTTCTATTGTTAACATGGTTAAAATGCTTAATGACTGTGGAGGGAGCACTGACAAATGCTAGTGCTCTTTCCTGCTTTTTGTACTGGAAATATTTCAGGCTGAAGAACTTGCCAAAGAGAGTAGGAGATAAAACACATGCCTGTAGTAGAGCTTAGCTGAAGAAGGGTAAAAGAGCATGTGGTCAACTAAGCAACAATTTTCAGCTCCATTGGTTTTTAAAGGAACACTTGCAGTTCAGCCTCCTTTGGGCAGCATTTTATTCAATCACCACTGCTGGGAAACACACTAGAGGGATCTCAAGAGACATTTTAGAATGGTTAAAGCTCTTCCCAAACCAATTCCCTTAGTGCCTGTAAGCTTTTGTTACGAAAACTGAGATGTCAAATAATTCTCCAGAGTGTGTAAGGGCATTTTGTTAAAAGATCAGGAGAAAATCGGTTATGTATATATAAATTGAAGTTAAGTGATCATGTTTGTACATGTGTGGTTGTTTTTCTTAAGCATAATATTTCATATTGAAAATAAAATTTCATCTCTGTCTTGCTGTTGCAAGTATTTTAATTCATTTTATGGAATTTATCATTGACATTGAACTCTGTCAATTAATATGATCCAGTTGTTTCCTAAAGATGTGTTAAATACTGTTTTATTACAGCTTTGTCCTACTTTGTCTCTAAGACAGTATTTTAGCTTTTAAATATATCTCGTAAGTGTATGTTATCTAGTGTATAAACTCACTCATAGGCTTTTACCTATTACCCTTGTTAAGTGGCATTCTAGGTTCTGGGTTTCAAGTGAGTCAGCCATACTTTGTTGTAGACAAGGTACTGTATGGAAATGTGAAAGTGCCAGGACATTTATGACCTTTTCTCAAGTGCCTTCTCTTGAAGAGAGCCTAGAGTTATAATAGTAGCTCATTTTTGCTGGTTGTCATCAAACTAAATTACACTACAGTACATAAATATATTGTTCTTTTTCATGGGGTAGAGGAGCTGTCTATTATAGTTGATTTGGTCTAGTTGAAGCCTAAAGAAAAACAATCTATGCTTTAATATTTGCATGTGCTGACCTGGATTAGTTAAACTTTGCTCATCTTAGTGCAAGTTTTGGAAAAATTATAGATAGCTGAGGTCCCCTAAAGTCACAACTTTATGCCCTAATGCCATGGAATCAGCTTGCTGCCTTACAGAACAGGCAGACAGCTTAACTAACAGGTCAGATTCTTGAACTGAAGTTGTGTATACCTACACCTGGGAATCTGGATGTGTGAACAGAAAGGCTGCTTCATTTGCAAAGATGGTGATGACTTCACTTTTCAACAAAGATAAATTTTAAAAGGAAAAAAAAAAAAAGAAAATCATCTCCATTTGGGGCACATTTTTTTCTTTTTCTCCCAGTGTAAGAACACGGACATACGGGATAAAAGTGACAGCAAGCATGGGCCGTTAGTCATTTAATAGCATTTGACTACTAGTCAAATTCATAGCAATATGTTAAAAATTGAGCTCATAGATGACAAGTATATTCTCATTGCACAGATAAAGAAACTTCTAGAAAAGGAAATAACACTCAAGACTATAATTTATAAATAGGTATAAAGAAAAGCATACTTTAAAAGGGTTGTTTTATATTAACCATTTACATTTTCTTGCATTTGTTCATGGTAACTCATGCTAGGGACCTGTTAGGGGGATAACTAGCATAATAATCCTGGTGTCCATCTGCCATTCCCTGTTAGACAGTGTTCCAGCTATCAAATTGTTTCCTAAAAATCCTGCTGTGGAAGGGATGGTGAGCTCCTGCATTGCTGAGTTTCTTTCCTGTAACTGTTGTGGTCCCTGTCCACATTCTTGCACAGGACACTTAGGGATGTGCTTAAATCTGCTGCCACAGCAGGCACTGTTTGCAGATCAGGCCATCATTTAATAACGGAGTTCTGCTAGTAAAATTTGCAACTGATGGTAATTAGATGGGAAGACAAATAAAGGAAAAGAAGTAGAACCAACTGTGTGTGCTCTTTTTCTGTCATTTTTGGGTTTACTGTTTTTATTTATTGGTTACTTTAGCCTTAGACTCCCCTGTATTCCTACAACTTCCATGTTGGAGTTCACTTTCTTTGCATGTTGGTCACTAGTCAGTTATTGGGAGGTCATTTAGGATGGAATTTTTATGCATCTTGCTTTTTTGTCCTTTACCCTGTGAGCTTCTGCTGCTTGGATCTATCTGCTCAGTCTGAGCTTCTTCATAGAGTATTCAAACTGCTGTATGGGTCCTGCTGCCTACTGGGTGGTAGAAGCTGTCGAGTCCAGCTGCAGTGCATCTTGCTGGGGTGAACCACAATACCCACAAACTAGCAACTAAGCAACCCACACAGCTATTTGTGATCATCCAACTTCCTTGGCTTACCTATCCTGCCCTACAGCAGCCAAGAAAGTAGACACACTGTTTTGAAAAGTTGCATATTGTTTTCTTTCTTTGGATAGGTAAGGGAGAATTTAGCCAAACTCTTTAACAGAAAATATTTCATTGCAAAACTCAAATTGTGTACACAGAGTTTTGTACAATTTGAATGTTTTCACATTATAAGTTTATGATGGAAATCTAGTGACCTCTCTTTCATGTATTGTTCTGAAGTAACAGTTCTGGCTAGAGAATTAATAAACCATTTTTGTAGAGGGCTTGCACTTCCCTGTTTTCTGAAAGCTTTGCTCTTCAGAGGCCTTGGTGTTGACACACAGCTTGTTTTTGAAAGTGGCTGCCCTTCTGCTGCTCCTTATTATTTAAGGCTTCACACCTGTAGGTTGCTAGCTTTAGTCTGATCTGCCTGAAATGGTTTGGGTTTTTTTTTTTCAGCTACCCCAGTGTTTTAGGACAGGTGGTGTACTGAAAGGTTACTCATTGTGGAAGCCTGACTGCGCATCCAGCCTGGTGACAGTAGTGCATCAGCAGATCTATATTGCTGTATCCTGCTGGTTATCAGTTTCTTTTGACTACCTCCTTCATAAATAGCATATTGATGGCAATGACTAGTGTTCAGACCTTGCCAATCAATACTAACATTGAATAAGAGTTAATCGACACAAATAACTGCATCTCTCAGTTTGTGTACAAGAATGACACCTTCTTCTGCTCTAATCAATAATAACTCCTTGTAGAGCATTGAAATAAAGCTGCTTTCTCTGTTTGACAGAGTTTTCCCAGGTGGCTTGGAGCTGTCTCTTCCACTGTGTCTCACCATAGCATCTTAACTGGAATGTTACATATGAATTGCCTGTCAAGATGATTCCATCAGGCATTTCTTGGTAGTGTTTATCACTGCCATCAGTACCGAGTTCAGCCTTTGTTTTGTCTCTTGTTCTATAGCCAGAAAAATGTAACAGTTTACCAAGTACATGCTTTGTTGTCAGCTATTTCAAATAGTAATTGGTAAACATGAATCTTTTAATAAGAAAAATAGTCTGTATTTGCCAGAACTATTTGGTCTAGTTTGATGTGACAATTTATGTACTTGTAGTACAAAACACTGCTTTTCTTTTCAATTTAAGAAAACTCAGGCTGTAGAGACACTACTTGATTAATCTTTGCTTCAAAATCTTATTTTGGTTGGAAGACCTGGAGATTTGAGGAGAAAAATAGGATAATATTGCTTTGATCATTACTATCTTTAAATCAAAATTAATTTTATTAATTTTAATACCTTTCTGAAATAGGGAAATGCAAAATGATCCTATAAAACATCTTATTAGTAACTGCATTTTTATTGACCATTTCAAATATATTTTGAGGGACTTAGTTAACAGAATTTGAATATTGACAATGGCAAGTACAAATACTTTATTTTTCCACTTTTTAATGCTTTTTTTTTTTGGTAACTATATACTTGCCCGAAGAAACTTAAAATCTTCAAAAAAAAAAAAATCTTACTGCAGAAGAAAACTGGATTCGAATTTGTTTCTAGGTATTTAATTTTAATCAACGTCTCATCTTCACTAGTGCTTGTACAGATGGGTATGAATGGCAGGGTGGCTTTGTTCTGGATGTGAATTTATACAAGCCTGCATAGAAGGGACATTGAGAGCAAGAAGGAAGTAAACATAGGGAGGCAATTGCCCCTCAGTATTTCTGTTGCAGAGTGCCATCTCTCTGAATAAAATTAATTCTGCTAGCCTCTTTGGGTGCCTGCATAGCTACAGTTTCATTTTTAGCTGTGACTTTTCCATGCAATTGTTTGTCTTGAGCACCACGGGTCATGCCTAAATTCAGCCAGAGCAATTCACATGGGATTTGTTTTAAGTCAGATTAACATTTGATTTAAAGTAGATCTGCCTTATTACGAAGTTCAGCCAAATGGGTTGGCACATATAAAATACAGCAGCGCTTTTGTTGAGCACCCATGTGGTTCTTGATTCACACCTAATTATCTTGCTCCTTTGTCTCTACTGGCTCCCGTTGCATAAGTTAGAATTCCAGGTTTCCATATTAAAAACAAGAATCATCACAGGATTGTCTCCACTATTTTACAAAATCCAGTCTGTTTCCAGAACACTAGCTCTTATAAATCTGGATCCAAAGCCAAGGGGGCGGGGGTGGAAACTGAGTGTAAGAAGTCCCATCTCTTCAGAAACATGTGCAGTTCTTGAGAATTTCCCAATGGGTATGAGTGAGAGCTGAGACCTCACAGCAGCCAGTACTATTTATGAGCTGATAATTTAAAGAATTAACTTCTGTTCAGTCTTCCTCATCTCACTTTCATATGGAAAAAAAAAAGAGACATATTGGGAATTCTGCAGTTCCTCCATTGCAGAATGAGAGAAGCCTGAAAGTTGGTGAATTGCTTAGATACAGCTGTAATTGCTGCATTGTAACTCAGTGTCTTAAGTCTTTTAATGGTAGACTTCAATCAGAATTCTGCAATTAAAATCTCTTTACTTTCACTCTGAAATGTTCTGATTTTTTTTATTATTTTTCAGGTTAACAAACAGAAATATTATTCACAAAATGCCTGAATGGACTCTAATTGCTATTGTTTTGTTATCTGTGTAAGTACCCTTTAATGTCACATATTCTTATACACATCTGTCTTAACTAGATGACAGACTTAACTTATTGACAGACATTCTTCCTCTCTCTGTGACAGTAGAACAAAATTACATGTCTATTATATTATTTGGATTTGGCATAACTGTTACACTTTTCCATTTCTCATTTTACTTCTAACTTCTTAAATGATTTCAGTTTCACAATTAAAGTCAAATTATTTCCATAAAGATATAGTGTGCTTCTAAGTATGTTTGTTTGAATATTTTAGCAAACTTCTTTGAGAGGAGAAGGCTTTTTTAGCAACTCTCAAACTTCTCAAAGGAATACTGGGACCCAGTATCTTATTTTTATGAGGATTAGCTTTATTGCTTAAGATTATGATACTAAGTGCCTACAGTACTCCTTAGCTTTGTTGTACTTACTGTAGAATTAAATTATTTCCAAGGGGTTTCCTTAATGGGAAGTTGGATTTATTATAATGTCTTTCAGTAAACCTCTACACAGAGCCATAATCTATAAAAGCTGTAGTCATACGCAACAAGTAACTTCCTTAAATTATATTTTCCAAATTCATGTACATTTCTAAAGTTAAAGATATAAACTTTGCAGTGTGTAAACCAGACAGTTCTCACAAATTCATATTAAACATTTAACATTAGTTCACCTTTTAAGTAATCACTGGTGGTTTCAGACAGTGTCAGGCCCTGCCTTTCAGCAGGGTTAAACCATCAAGTGATCTTTATACGTCTTTCAGCTTGAATTACAAGATTGCAGAAATCTTATTCTAGAGACTTTATTACCACACTGCTGCTGCTGGGCTTCCTGGGTCAGTGGAGCCTGTAGGACAGAGAAGTGCTTACAGACATTCACAGGTCAAGAAGTGTTGTGGGCCAACCTCGTTAGCATCCTCAGTACTGCACTTACTTTCCTTGATATTACTTCAGTCTGACACATTGTTCTGGCTTTACTGTCCCAAGGAAGAATATACCAGCAGGCATTAGAGTAGGCTTCAGCGAGCCTTTACATCTGTGTCACCCAGCCAGATACCGCTCAAATGATTCATTAAATCAGAACACAGAAAGTAACTTTACTTGAATGCCTTGGCATAAATTTTTTATCAACTATAAGAACAAATCTTTTGTCATTTTTACTATATCTTCTTATGGTTGAATTGGTAATTTGTGAAACGGATCTTATGAATTTTTCAAGTAGTTTCTGTACATTTAAGGGAGTGGTGACTTTTTTGTTCAGAAGTTAAAATATGTTGCTGGTATCTCTGCATGTGATGAGCTCTAAATGTTTACATACCTAATGATTGTTTTACAATTGCTTTAAAATGTTATACAAGTAGCAGGCAGTCTTGGTAGCAACCAGTATAAGCAGAGAACTAAGTCTCTGCTTACTTTTGCTTTCTAAGGGTCTGCCTCTAAGCAAATTAATTATATTTGATCCTAAAATAGACTAGATTTTATTTCTAATATTATTCTCATAAAATCCTGAATAAAACTTTGTTGACTTCAGCTTATTGTAAGAATCTTGCAAGCTCATGATCTTCAGATTTTGAACTGCTCTCAGCCCCCTCTTAGGAGAGGATGTGGAAGAATGTAGATGGGGTAGAATGAGTGTTAAGATTGCTCTAAGATGATGATGAGTGTTGCATCATTTCCAGACAGATTAAAACAGAACATTTAAGGATTTGTGAGTTCTAATGAAACTTGAATATTTAGTGGAAACCAGAAGTGTGCAAGGAAAGGCTGCTGAGGACCTGGGTAACCCCTCACAGACAGGTCCTGAGATTGGCCCTTTCTCACGTCCTGCAGTCCGCCAAGGAATCTATCACATCTTACTAATATTGCTCATAAAAAGCATTACACTCTCTAAAGTCTTCTCTGTCTTCCCTGTGGCTATACTGAGATATGATGCACGTTGTAGCACATGTAATGTCATTTAGATTGCAGAGTTGTATGGGGCCTGAGTCAGAATGGCTTTTTACTAGCTTCTGACACTGAAAGAGAACATTTTCAGAATATGTATTCACAGGTCTTGACCTGGTCTCAGACACAGGATGGCCATTTTACTCCTAACACTCAAGAGTGAAGTATTATAAGCAACACCCTGGAAGAGGATAATACTTCCTCTTTACAGGAGGACAAAAGACCATATTACAGGTACTCTGGGGTGCAGGTGGTGTAAGAACAGAGACTACAGAAAGCAGAGTGAGCAGGATTTCAGGGTACACTTCAAAAGAAACTACTAAGACCTCAAGTATTTTGGGGGTTTTTTTGGAAGGGGGCAGGGTTTTTTGTTTAAAGTAGCAACTGTTGGACTTTGCTTGCACCCCATTTTGTGCATCGATACTGTGGCTCACCACTTCCTTCTCATATATGGCTTGCATATGCTGAGGACTTAGACGGTGTACTTAACCTCACAGTGCACGTTCAGAGTGCCCTGACCCTGTTTGTGGTACACTACTGGGCAGTATAACTGTTATCATTACTGCTGTATTGAATTTAAGTGCCATCACTGCTTAATACTTTGCATTATGTTATGATGATGCTATCATCATTGGAGTGTGTATATTAACTCTCTGTAGGATACAGCACGTTGAATAGTCATAACACCTACTTTTGGTGCTTAAATTAGACCTAGGCTCCCTTTATAGTCTGCTGGTCCTTGAGAAACTATTAAAAGTACTTAAGTGCCCTTGAGTCTACTGACTATTAAAGAAACCTGGGATTCTAATACACTATTCTGAAACCTGGGCTTCTAATACGATGTTCTGAAATAAAGTGCCTGAAACTAGAAAAGGTGACTGTCTTTCTCAAAGTATAAAATGTTGGAGATTGCAGGAGTGGAACATTTCCTATTCCTAGTGAACAGCTGGATTTATTCAATCAAATTATTGTATAAAATATGAACAGCCAGTCTCAGCCTTTATCGAAAATCTAGCCTGAGGCACTCCTACCTTTATGACCAGCGCATTCAGCAATGCTGTATCGACCTTCTTAGAGTACACTTTGACAGCCAAAGAATTATGTTCAAATAATTACATTCATGCCTGTCATGGAGTTTGTGACTCTAAAATGATCTGTAGATCAAATTTATTTGTCATTTGTGATCATTTTGGCAGTGGTAGATTTCTGTGTCTTCCTGTTGCAATGTTTAGTATGTTAAGCAGAATTTTTTGTTATAGTAATAGCTGCTTTATAATGTACTGCAAACTAGAATACAGAAGTTGCATCTTTTTTTCCCCCAAAGAACTTTGTGAGACATCAAATGAAGCAGATAAATAGATACAAATACTCAAGAAAGAGTGGAGAAAGCAGTGGGAAGATTGGCTGCTATACAAGCATGGGCACTTGCTGTTTTTAGTGTATACCCCTGGTACAGTCTAATGGAAAGCTTTCAAGATATTTTCAGGAAATGTCTGCTTTCATCTTACTTATCTGAGCTGGCTGGTTCCAGTGAACTGTGGTCAGCTTCATCTACAAAGCCTATGCAAGAGGTTCCCCTGCTAAAAGCTTTGAAGCATTTCAGAATGTTCTGGGATTAGTTTATAAGTATTTGGCTGCAGTATTTAAACAAACTCAAAATGACCATGATCACCAAACAAAAGCCATCATTATATGTGTGCAGCCACTTTAGATAAATGTGTCATGTGGAGATGTACTCTAGAGGTTTACTCTCTTGGAGATAACAGTTCAGGAACTGGAGAATCTTGGGTTCAAGTATGCGATTTACTTCTTTGCACACGAGAGCACAGCTATTGCTCAACACTGACATTTCTAAATTATTTTAAGAGGAATTCAGATGTTTGTGATATCACTATTGTGTTCTTGTCTGAAAATGTCAGAATGCTTGAAATGTACAAATCTAATTTACAAACACAGACTTGCAGAGCGACTTTTCCCTACAGAAACCACATACAAGTCAGCTGGATGATCTTTTATTTAGCAAGTCTGATGACAGAAGTTTGGGTCCAGGTTTCAGCTGAGAAAAATCATTTATCGTTAAGCTAGAAATGGAATTATTTCCCATTGTGGAACAGAATTTGCATGACCAAAAATCCAGAAAGTGTTTCTTTTCATAAACACATTTGAATGTGGTCATCTCTACTCTCAGTCTCTTTTCTGTAAAGTTGTATTATTATGTGAAATAGAGAAAAAGCAAGTTTTTCTTAACACGTTAAAAATTAAAAAGTATATCCTTCCCTTTTTCTCTCTTAAGAATTTTAGGTTGTCATTTGGCGAGTGTGAACTCAAATAGGTTTTCTGTTAAACAGTTCTTACTTATCAGCACTTTCTAAACAAACTCAAATCTGCTTATTTGGCATACTGTGGAAGAGATCAGTATTACTTTACTTCCTCCTAGCCTGTTCCAGTATTACTTAGGAAACATGTGTAGAACTGGATTTGCAGTGGTGTTAATTGGGACATTAATCATCACCAACTTGAAAATTAATTATGAATGAGGAAGATACTTAATTAAGGGAGAAAACAGGAGAAGAAACTTTAGCAGTTACAAAGGTGTTTCTCGTTATACAAAAAAACACCACTGTGTTGCTGTAGTGCTGGTACGCAGGAAAGCGACGCTGTGGATTTCCCAGCAGCACACACAGCTGCAGGCTTTTCCCATTCTGGTATTTCTCATGTATAGCCTTCTGAATGGGAGATTGGGATGTGCTGCCTAACTTTCATGTGTGCCCAGCACAAACCCTCTGAGGTGAATCCAGGATAATGAGTTCCCCTTTACAGTTCTGGTCCTTGACCTCGTCAGCAGGAGCAGAGCCTTAGCACACGCTGTCTCCCAGACTTCTGTTGCATGGGGTTAGGGGGTTGGCTCGGAAAGCTGCCTTCTCTATACCTGCCAGTTTTGCTGCCTAGTGCAAGGCAAAAGCAGGGTCATGGCTTTCTGCCAAGTGTCTTGGAGATCCCTCCAAGCAATAGAAATCTGCATGTTCCCAGCAGCTGTATGTGTGGGCATTCAGACTGAAGTCATG